AGCAAAGGGTCTGAATACTTATGACCATGTGATATTTCAGTTTTTCTTTTTTAATAAATCTGCAAAAATGTCAAACAAATTCTGTTTTTCTGTCAATATGGGGTGCTGTGTGTACATTAATGAGGAAAAAAATGAACTTAAATGATTTTAGCATATGGCTGCAATATAACAAAGAGGGAAAAAATTAAGGGGTCTGAATACTTTCCATACCCACTGTATCAGCAGCTCCTGTGTGCAGGTTGAACTTCCTGAGCTGTTGCAGTTAGTACATCCTCTGCTGTGCCTTCTTGATGATGGTGCTGTTGTTGGATGTCCACTTCAGGTCCTGGGAGGTAGTGCAGCCCAGGAACTTGAAGGACTCTACAGTGCTGCTGAGTATGGTGGGGTGGGGTGGGGGGGGACTGATGACTGTTGTGTCATCTGTGAAATTTAGGAGTTTAACAGAGGGGTCCCCTGAGGTGCAATCCTTTGTATAGGGGGAAGACAACAGGGGGAGAGCACACATCCCTGGGGGCGCCTGTGCTGATAGTCAGGGTGCTGGATGTGGTTTTGTGGTATAACTGTGTCACATGGAAAAAATAAACAGTTACTCATCTGGCAATCGTTGTCTGTAGCACATCCATCTTAAGTCTGAATAATTAACAAGTGCAAGTCTGTATTTACATTGTATTTATGTAATATATTTTTCCAGGTGTGGAAACGTGAATTTTGCTAGAAGAACTAGTTGTAACAGATGTGGCAGGGGTGAGTCCTCCTTGATACAGAGTATGATTTATTGCATTTCAGCCTTTCAGAAAGTATTGAAATCTATTGTTTTGTTTCCTTAGAGAAGACCACAGAGGCAAAGATGATGAAAGCTGGAGGAACAGAGATTGGGAAAACGCTGGCTGAGAAGAGCAGAGGTCTCTTCAGTGCAAACGACTGGCAGTGCAAAACGTATGTGTTTACTAAACATTCCAGCACACTTGCGGAGGGATTGCATCATCAAACAGATAACTCCTCATAGTTGTCAATGAGTGAATGCCTTTTCAATTTGGGAAAAAAAAAACTGGTCCTCCATTTCACTTGTATATAAAACTCAGTTATATATTTTTCTTTTCCCTTTGTTTTCACCAAGATGCGGCAATGTGAATTGGGCCAGACGGTCAGAGTGCAACATGTGTAACACACCGAAATATGCCAAGCTTGAAGAAAGAACAGGTAATCCAACACTTCTTTTAAGTGGTTTGACAGATTTTGGCTGTGCTTATGATAAGTAGTTATTGATTGCTTTTTTTCTCCTCTCTTAATGTTGTCAGGTTATGGTGGAGGTTTCAATGAAAGGGAGAATGTGGAATACATTGAACGGGAGGAATCTGATGGTGAATATGATGAAGTGAGTACTATTTCAAAGTGTTTTTTTTATTGACCATCGAAACATTTCCAATCTCTTTTTTTATGAATGAGCAAATGGTGACACACTGTAACTAATATTTAAGTGCCAGACAGGTAGAATGCTGATGTATACTGATGAAACTGTTGAACTAAATTTGAATTTTCAGATGTCATATTTTCTGATATGATCTGTTTTTAATGTTACAGTTTGGCAGGAAAAAGAAGAAGTTTCGTGGGAAGAACAGCGGCACATCGTCCCCAAAAGAAAGTGAAAAGAAAGAAGTAGTAAAAGAGGAGGAGGAAGAAGAAGAAGAAGAAGAAGAAGAAGAAGAAGAAGATGGTGACCTTTCCAAGTACAAACTGGATGTAAGATGGGTGGCTGCAAATTCAAAAGAACAAATGTTATAGTACTAACCAGTATCCATATAATAATACAAAGCACCTCCTCTCCAGGATGATGAGGATGACGATGAAGATGGAGACCTGTCAAAATATGACCTGAACGCCAGTGATGATGAGGACAAACCAGCCAAGAAAAAGGGTAGCCGCTCGGGATCATCACGTTCCCGCTCATCCTCACGCTCTTCCAGCTCCAGTTCACGGTCGAGGTCCAGGTAAAAGGGTACAGGTCAAGGGTAACTCCGGGCAAAATGTCAGTATCAGCTCAATCTTCCTTCTGATTTACCGATCAAGATCAAATCGATGTCTTGTGCTTATTTGTTGTTTCCCCTTTTCTTAACCCCTCCCCACGGGTGGTGTAAGAAAGTGATGTGCAAATTGAATGACCCCACATATTATGTGCTGAGTTTTCAAATGTCTACATCTTAGGATGAAAGCAATGCGTTGTATATATTGTAGGCCTAGTCCTGATCTTTTGGCGCTATATTGAGTCATCTACTTCCATCTGATGGAAATGCTGCGCTTGTAGCTGTGGTTATGTATGGAAAATATTGGAAAGGTTTTGTTTTTTTGTTTTTCAGGTCCCGCTCTAGAAGCTCATCCAGTTCCAGATCTGGATCTCGCTCCAGGTCCCACTCCAGGTGAATGAGGTGACATGCACTCTCTCCCTTTAGAGAGTGTATGTATGGGGCTGAATAAGCTCCAGAACAGTCCTGTTCCCTAGTATAACTTTTAAGGAGAACACTTTGAGTCTTTTTTTTTTTTTTTTTTTTAACGTTTGAAATGCAATCGCCACAGACAGCTGCTCAGAACAGGTCGATCACCTGTTAGTATGTTTATGTGTTAGAGACCTTTAGTTGGATAAGGGCTAATCTTCATTTCAGCATTTCTTCTTTCACTTGTTCAACGTATTAGCTTCTCACAGGTGCCGTGGTTTCAGCATAAAAGTTCCTCAAAAAAAAATGAAAACTGTACAAAGATGTTTTTGGGTTAATATAAAAATATCTCCTTTACATTATTTGTGGTGTCCTCTTGAATACATTTGTGACAATTCTCTAATAACCAAATACACTATATTAGTTTTGAAAAATGTGTATCCATACATGTTTGAAAAAAAATTTGTAGACCAATATTTTGTCATTTCATTTTTCAAATATCAAAATCCATCATCAGTCAGGTTGTACCTAAAATAATGGTTGATTATCTGTGGTAATTCATACGTGAGACAGCTGGCAGAAGATTAATTAACTAATTTAGTAACTGCAGAATCATTCATGAAGTAAAAAATACCAAACGTTTAACAAATACATGTCCAGGATCGGTTGATTAATAAGGAAAGTTCAAAGTGCTATGGCAGTTTTCAGTCAGTATATGTAGGTTTATTTCAGGTTTCGGTTGGGCTCGAGTAGAAATACTACACAGTTATTAACTGAGTGTGAATGTTACCAAGGCTCAAAAGTCTGAAATAGACATCTGGGGTCTTCATCAAGCGTCTCTGAGGAGTGGTGCTGCTTTTGCCCACTCAGCAAATGTAGGAAAATTCAAAAGAAGTTAATTTCCTTTGTTGAGTCATCATGCATCTTGGGTAAACTTTCTCAGTAACATAAATGCGTAGCTGAGGACTGTTACTCAGAGAAGCTTGATAAATACTCATCCTGGTGAAGTGCTTGCCTGGACCTTACTGACCTCAGTGCTTGGTTTATTCCTCCAAAAGATCCAGCTCCAGGTCTGGAAAGGGCTCCTCTCCCCGGAAGAGGTCCCACTCTCCTTCCTCCTCACCTGAGAGGAGTCAGAAGCGCAGTCGCTCCAGGTCCTCATCTGGAGGGAGAAAACGGAGGCGTACTAGATCACGTTCGTCCGAAAGGTTTGGTTTCTGTGGAATACCACAAGTGCACTGATTATTACCAGTCTGTCGACTCGCTTATGGGAAGAGGCAGATTTACAGAAATATGGCCAGATTTTGTCCTGTTTTAATGCTTTTTGTATGTTGAGACCTTGTGTTTTTCTTGTATGTATAACTGAATGTGAAGACCTGAGCCTGCTGACCTCCTCCTTCTTCCCATGGTGTTTGTGCTTTCAGGGGCCGTGACCAGTCCTCTGGATCCTCCCATTCTGGCTCCAGTTCAAAAAAGGAATAACTTTATTACAGCCTTTAAAACAAGATAAGGAACGTTAGTACAAGTGCATGTTGTGTTGCAAGGAAAACAACCCCATCCGTTCAGTATGTTCATTTTTATTGAGCCTCCAGTCTTATTTCCTTTTAAAAAAGAAAGTGCAACATTACTTCTCTCTGTCATTACATTAATATCATTACACGCTCCTGATTTTAAAAACCACAAGCATACTAATCTGTGACAAGTGTCTTAACTATAGGTGTCCAATAAGCATAAATGTGTGGTCCTATAAAAAATAAACTGTGAAGAGGCAGTATCCCATCAAAACCCATTTTGCATAATGTCTTCATGGCAATACCATTTACTCAGCTCACTTGTGGAAAAATTGAAGTAAATTTTCCTGATTATTTTTGTACCTAGGAAAGCTCTTAGGTTGTGGTTTAAAAAGAGTCTTCTTTCTTAAATAAATACATTTGTTTTAAGTAAAAGGTACCAGTTTAGTAAAACCTGAAAGTAGCAATGGATTTTGGCCCATTTTATTTTATAAGTGTTATTTGTGTTGGTTTTTCAAGGTAAGTATTTTACTTTTTGATATTAAGTGGCAGAAAATCAGCATTCTTTGATTATGTTGCAATTGTTTGTTTGTTTTTCTTCTTTACACAATTATGGCCTAAATTTACCACTCAGTTATTCCTCATCACTTGTCTTTTGAAAAATTGACTCATTAAATAAATGACAGATATTTCTGCTCCATACAATAGCAAACCTGTCCCAGTTTATGGTAATGTGGCAATGCAGTCTTTTTAGTGGTGAAACTAAAATGTACACCTGTAAATAAACTTCTGTGAACATTGTTTCCTGTTATTTATTTTTGTTTGATTAGAAACATGGTACATGAAGCAGTTTTAATGTTTCAGTTCTACCAGCCATATGAAATGAACCCTAGTATCCCTAAATTTTAGTTAAATTAAACTTAATCTACACCCATGCACTCAGTGTGGGAGCCAAGGGTCTCCCACAAGGCGGTGCAGTTACAGGCAGACATGTTACTGATCTATTTTGATAGCTAGAGCTATGGCAGAGAATTCTTGTTCACAAACTGAGACTTGTTACAGACCAGGGCATCCCTTCTAAGACATATAGCCTTATAGTTAATGTTGTTGCAAGAAGTTGCAATGTGCATGCAGTGTTAGTATGAGGGTGAGAACACCACCACATGGAACAGACTCCTTTTACATTCAGGCACAGGTGGAGAAAATACCAACAGTAGTCAGCTGTGAGTGTATAGATAGGATTGTAAAGAAGTGAACTGGGTATTAAAGGATGCATCCAGTGTTTGTGTTACCAAGATGGAATAAAGCCTGTGTTCTGAGCAGAGCTATCAGGCCTCCCCTTTTCACTTCTCCCTGCTGAAAAAGCCCAGACGTCCAAGGCTATTGAGTGATGACATACAGCATATGACTGCAAATCTAAGTTTGTGGTGGTGGTGTTTTTTAAATTGAACGACCCATTCTGCTTTTATTTCACATATGAAAACATGTCAGACATCCTGATCCAGAGGTGGTTTATTCTGTATGAAAACAAAAATGCTTTATTGTGGTTCCCCCTTCAGACATCATGATGCCTGCGCGCCTGACAAATTTGGATTAGATTAGTTAGGACACGCTAAAGACGGTAGGCTATGTAGCCTACTCTGGATAATTTTGACAAATTGACCTCTCTTAGCGACATTTCGACATTTTGCATAAGCAGCTACTGTTGGTAAATACCGAGCAAACGCGTTTCTTTCCGGTCAACAGGTGGCACTCTGCGTATATGCTGAGCTCAAAAGTCCTTGTCCTCAGCACCGGTTACTTTGGGTCTGGTACAAAATATTAAAGGGAAGAAACTGTAAAAAGAATGGTGCGATCATAAAGTTTGTTCAAATTTACTGCTGATAGTTGTAAATAGCCTACATCCCATATAGTTCTATGTGATCTGAACGTTTCTCATAATGTGATCCTAAGTGATATAATGTAGATTAATTCCGTAACAAAAATGCATAGAAAAACTTAAACTCGCAAATCTAATTATTACCGAATCTCACATTAGGAGACTGATATTTGCATGATAAATGATGCATATTTTATTTTCCATAAATGT